CAGACTATAGGCGATGACAATTAATTATTTGTCTGAGTATCCATTATTCATCTTGAAAAATCCAGTAAAATAATTATAATACGTATAATTATTACACGTAACTAATTAATTGCGTGATAAGTAATTGTTATAGGTATAAAGTAGCATGGTGAACTCAAAACAAACAATATTTACATCTATTATATTATTAAAGTGATACAATCAAATTTTAATAAACTGTTATCGCCATTTACAAAAAAATATAGGCAAATGGCACACCAAAATAAAGCTTAGAGTGTGTAGATTTGCCAAAAGTTATTGGTATGGACAAATGTCTTAGGGGCTTTGCCCCACAGGCCGATTTCCAGAGGGCTACGTCTGACATGCTTCTAAAGTTTAAGTAAAATAAATTTATGAAACAGCTGGTCAATCCAATTAACTGGTGTTTATTTACTCGAAAAATATGTTTGTGATGGTTTATGTGCGTTAGTAAGAGGGTTATGTTTGGTTAAAGGAAGTTGTATACGTTTTGTAGAGTATTGCTCACAGTTTCATTTGTAATTTAATTAGAATGCTATGTGTAAAGAGACTAAAATTGAAGAACTATGGTAAAACATCTCTTTCATGAAGCATCGTAATTGATACACTAAGGTACGTTGTCCTATTCGTTTGGATCTATTGAAATCAAAATTAGGGGTTTTAAAGTAAGAAGTTCTACACTTTTAAATCAGTTTATCTTTTCAAATCATAGAGTTGCTGTATTTTTAAACACACATCAGCACTACTTATACACTGTAATGGCTGCCTTGATCACATTTTCTTCCAGTTATAAAGCACGGGTATAACTGCTCGTAACTTACTATCATGTATTTTCTCCGTTTAGGGATTCTTGCGAATATTACAAACAAGTATGCTATCCATAATTTTGTTTTGATTATGTTCTATCATAGCTTTGTATTTGCTTGAAAACTTGACTTTTATCATTGGGCTTTTGATTATAGTACTGATTAAAGAACCGACTCATAATCTACACTCATTGTGCATACATGTCCAGCTTAAAGTAGCGCCCAATGGTGCGTCTACTTAATTGGTTAATCAATATAAAATAATCATTATTCAGGAAATTAAAAATAAATATTGTCATATTTTTGAGCTGTCATTTTGTCTGATTACACTCTTATAAAACTTGAAATTAAATTCTTCAAACGTCTCGCACCAACATTCTGCTTACATTCATTGTTGATTATAGTCTGTATGATTGAACCTGTGTCCTTCGACTAAGGTTGACCGGAGCATTAGGTCAGTTCACATGAAAGGTCGGGAGACAGGTTCCATAATACTTTGTATATAAATAACTGCATTAAAATTCAATACTATAAGTTCCCCTCTATCAGACAGGGTTGACCCAGCCCTGAGCCAGACTTGGGACAAAAAGCATCACTGGTCAGTGGGGGAGGGAGGGGGTGGTTTGCGCGGGTGGTTTTTTGGAGGGAAGGGTCAACCTCAGCAGACAACTCGAGTACCAGTTGAGGTCCGTCCCTTCTGTGTGTCGGTGAGTTTTTTAAACGATGGTATTTAAACTTTCACATTAATCTAGACTTTTAATTTTCAAATACTTTCTTCAAAAGTTGGGTGCTTGTTAATTTGTTGTGTGCTGAAAGATTTTTTTTAACGTTCAATAATCTAATATCCACGTTTATTCAGGCTTAAATATTGAAATCCATTCAAAAACAGATCCAAAATATTATGCTCTTTAAAAGTATTAAATCACTCTTATACATTGTTGTATACGTCTATAGTGAGGTCTAAAATCGCTACTGTGAAACTTCCATGTTTATTTAGACCTTGGAATTTTAAATGCTTTTCACAACAGTTAGATAAGAAAAAATATTATATTATTTTAATGAATAAATTACTCTTGAACATCCGTTTACTTCCAAGTGTCAATGAGTTTTCTAAAACGCTTTTATTTTAATTTTACATTCATTTGGACCTTTAATATTTAAATATCTTCTACAACAGTTATCAGAAATATGATTACGGTCTTTTAAATATTAAAAATAACCTTTAACTTAAGTTTAATTTTATGTTCAGTATGAAATGTTCCTATAAAAATTTATTAATTTATAGTATTTTCAATGTTTAAATACCTTTGTCAAATGTTAGATGAGAGACTGATTATGATTACGATTAAAATTACCCTTAAATATGTTTACTTACATTTTCTATGTTCTATGTGTGTGTGTAAGGTTTATTTAAACGTAATATTAAAATCATTTAGTCAGACTTTAAAATACCTTTTGCAAATTGTTGATGAGAAATATAATATTCTGATCTAAGTTACTCTTAAACTTGTTTACTTCTATGTGTCGATGAGTTAAAAAAACACTAGTACTGGTACTAAACATTCACATTCATTAAGCTTTTTAATTTCCAAACTTTTTTGTGACAGTTGGATTAGAAATATGATTACGATATTTTAAAAAATTTAATTGTTCTTGACCATTTGTTTAGTTTAGTAAAATTGGTATTGCTGGGTATATTAATGGATGTAATACTTTATTGTTAATCAGAAGGCTGAATTTCGATTGTGTGAAAAAGTCATAGCTTTTTGCTGGATCGAACCTTTACCAAACTGGTCTTGATCATTGGTCTTCTAATTAATGGTCTGGCTATAACGAAACAGCTGATCTTAGTCAACAATTACATCACTTTATTCTTTCAACACCCATCCTTCGCTCATCTTAATTTTAGTATTATTATTAGTTTTCTTATTGAAAAGAACACGTTTTTTTTTAAATATACGTCACACACCTATTGAGGTGTAATCTTATATTATTAAGCCAGAAAATATTTTCTTCATAGGTTTAACTAACATTTATTATTCTTTTAAATCATGAATACCTTTTAGGTCGTGGCATACTTTACAATTAATTAACTATAGTCTCTTATTTGATTGTAGCTTATCTTTTTACATTGCTTGCCTGAAATCCTCTGCTCTCACGACAAACTTAGTATTATTTTTTATTCCAAACACAACAAGTTTAGCGACGAAATTTAAAAATCTAATTTTATATACTTAGCTCTTCTATGCAAAACTCAAATCACCGACTGCCTCAATACTTATTACTTTAACCATATAAACTAAGCATATTTCCGTAAAGTTAGTCTTGCCATCCTTAAGGCTTAGTAATTTAGTGCACGTTTCTTTCCTGTATATGCAGAGTGTTTGTTGTTTACTATTTTCCTAGTAAATTTCACTAACTTTAAAACAATTGTACTCGAATAAAGCATAAACTTATATCTGTAAACTAAAGATTTTTCTCTAATATTCCCAAAAGATTAAATCCCCACACTGTAATTTACCCCTAAAAGAATCAATTTATAGTTTGTATGGCGTAACCTGTCCCCTGACCTTCCTATTTGTGACTGGCCCGTGTCATAACCGTTGACTAGTCCCAGGTAGACTGCAGAAGACAGGTTCCGTCATGCAGACTATAGTCAACATAAGCTCATCAACACGTCATGAAACATTGAAACATGCTTCAAATTCAAGTTAGGACACGCATCCTACCTGCATTATCCAAAGTCAATGAATCCATCACATTTTATATAGCCAAGTGCTGAACTTCAATCAGTGTTGATTTGAAAGCTCCACACCCCAGTGACGGATAGGGGATCAACCTGTCCAAGGGATGGACTACAGAACAGGCTACACTTGATCGATTGAATACATCACACAAGCCTACTCTCTAGTTTAATGTTAAAAAATTACTAAACAGAGTCAAGCTACAGTATTACAAGTTTATAAAAGGTTATATGCGTGTCTGGATGTCCGAATCCATGGCTCATAAACATAAACAAATGACGTTTTTAGCCCGAATCCTATACTAATAGCATTAAAATATGGCTTAGACAGTTCCATTTAAACAATTTTAAATAATGCTTAATTTTGGGCCAAAACGTCATTTGTTTATGTTTATGATCCATACCGGGTCTTTTCTAGTAATCGTATCCGAATCCAAATTTGTCCGCGATTGCCGTAACAATTAGTGTAATACATATACGTCCAATTCGTCAGGTTCTGGCTTTTAAATTCAGGTACCTGCCTAGGACCTTTAAAGCAACCATGATAAGTTTATGAGAATTATTTTAACTACCAGCTTGATCAGAGAATGCTACGTAAAGAATAAATTCAATACTTACTTCACTTCTTCCCACATTTTGGAAATTATCTTCGTTATACATTGTTTAACTGACTGAAACAAATTAAAATAGATTATTTGGTAAATGTATGTTGACAGTTTACTAAACTAAAGCTGACATGTTGATTAAAGATAGTAAAATTCCATAATCATTGTTGCAACTTGCATTACACTACTGTTGGCTCAAAAGACGGGAAATACATAACAGATGGCAAGTGGTGATCAATTCCGATTGTATACTTCGATAATCATCAGTGAAAGGAAATATTAATCTAGTTAAGTTGGTAAATACTCAAAAATTCCAGTCAGCTTGAACTCATGATGGATGTTTTGTTTCAGTGAATGTGCGTGCTTGTGTCCCGTGTGGTGACAAAATGGATTAATGTTTACTTTGTGGATATCTAATTTGTGGTGAGTAATCCTTTTAATTATTCATTTTTGACAAGCCAAACATTCGTGTGGTGAACGCATTTTCTAGCATTTCGTTAAGTTAACATCATAATGTAATGGGGGACTTCTATACCTCTGAGGGTACACAATTTGATGGTCTGAAACTGAATCCTGCTGTACTTGATCTTAAGCTTTTAATAAATAGTCATGACTTATATTAGGAAACACAAAAATGTTATTTTAGTCAGTAACAAAGCCTTTTGATACTTAAATACTGGAACCACCGTTTATTTCAGTAATGCAGCTAAAACATCTAACTCCTTCAATACTCGTCTTCCATTTATTTGCGTCAAAATACACCTTTTAGAATCCACACGTCAAAAAAGTGTAATGTAAAGTAAAAAGTCAATGAGTTTTGAGGTAAATTTATTTGAATTTTTCAAGGGCATTGAGGAAAAATTGAATCGAAACGCAACCTTTAGAATCCTTAGCTGATTCCCAAATCTTACAGAAAGTGTCCTTGTCGAGTCGACACCCTATTCTATTGACGAGAGTCCTCAAATATGCAGCTGATCTTGAAATAGTAAAGTCTTCTGGGGTCAAACCGTAGCTGCTGAAAACATTCGGACTTATGATCTCAGATATGCTTTCGTTTGTCACTGGAGGAATTCCAGCCCTCGGAATCGCTTTAATACTGTCAATTTCATCTGAACAATGATATTTGTGAGCAATTTGATTGGTTGTTTCAAAGTTTAAAACTTCTTTAGGTACGTCTTCAATTTTAGGGATGTTGGGAAACTCGCCGTTTACATTAAGAACATCAGCTAGTTTTTCGTAAGCAACCATTCCATTTGGGCAAAAAACGTTCAACCGTAACATCAAGCTTTCAAAGAGAGTTCGGTCAGGTTTGATTGCAAATCTAGAAAGCACTTGATATACATTTTCTTTTGACAAGTATCCAGTCTTTTTTACATCAACGCTATGGAAAGCGTCTATCAAATCTCGATGGGAAAGCTTATGCTTTTTGGTTTGTTGACGAAGAGTATTAACATGACAGAGTTCTTCGTGAAGATCAACTTTGTCAAGACTCGGAGGACATTCTTTCATCAATTCTCCAGCTCCGAGAGGTTCCCTTTTGTTCAACTTTCCAAAAGCATGACCCTTTGGAACACACTCAATGTTATTGTTGGGTGCTAAAACTTTTCCAACTAAACTTCTATTCCTTGTCCTATGATCAGCTAAGATTTTAGACACGAATATCTTATCGTTTGCACCCAGCGTCATCACTTTCTTCATGCATCTTCCTTGAGGGTCGCAAGGTGTAGGGGTTCCCCAGACGAGGTCTTTTTTGAAAGGCATACCATAATGTCTATCCATCTGTTCCCCTGGATCATAGTCGTTGTGGGTGTTTTTGTACATCTCGTGACCAACTCTAGCTTCTTCCATTACTTCTACGTAGGACTTTTTAGGGTTCACAATCTCTCCAGCAGGGATGTCTTTAGGGGTGACTTTTCCGAAGATAGCATTAGGATCCATCCCGGCTGGAAGTGTTGGAGTAGGGTCAGCTGTTTTACCCACAGGTCGCTTCCAATAAGAGTCATACACAGTGTCCTGGAACTCTCTTCGGAGAAGTTGGAAGAAGGATTTGTCACTGTCAGGCTGTAGGCATTCCTTCACGTCTGTGTTGAAGCCCCTGTATATGTTTGTCGATGGCGGAGGAAGCTTGTAGTCGAGTGGACCTGTCTTGCAGAAGTGTTTTTCGTCTTCGCTCACCTCGTGGAGTAAGCAAGCAGATACTCCGGCAGAGTTGTTGGATTTGTTTGTGTTCTTTGACGGGATTCCTGCTGCAGGAAATCCTGACACCCTGTCTAAAAGCCCATCCATTATTTTGGTTTCTTGTCAACAAATAACAATTTAAATCGTTAATTTTGAGTTTACAGTCGATAATTTGTTTTGACACGTTGCTTGGAATTTTTACACATTTCGTATAACTAAATACAACAAAAATTGGTAAAAGTAAACATTGGTAAAAGTTATTGGATTGGAGAACTCACAAACGAAGACATAGCTAGAGACATTATTGTTGTTATAATGCTGTATTGTTTACAAACAACATTATTTAGAAGGTTCCAGCTGTATACGTTAAAAATGTACAAATTAAGATTTTTATCTAATTTAGTTTTATGACAAAAATAAAGCCACAAGAAATATTTTACTATGAAATAGCTTAAGCCATTGATCATAATGTAGGGTTGATTATAAATTTCTATAAAAAGTAAATATATATTAGGAGTACTATTTGTGCAACGTAATCCATCAATCAAATGAACCCGACAAAAGAAAAAGTTTAGTCCTACCATTAAAATTACACCAGTTCATTGCGGGTGTACTGTTTTAGTACTGTCATATACCTATAGGTAGGTATAAATAGTCAATGGTACTGTGTAGATCAATACTTATTTATCTTTGCTACTTTACCATTGCAAATTTTAGGCCTTAAACCAGAGGCAACCTACCAGTTATTAACAAAATAACTAAATTCCAAGCGCAATAGAGTAACGTGTATAAATGTTTACCACAAAAAGGTTAAACAATTCGTTTTAACCGTAAAATAAAGGTTAAGATTGAGTGGGTCGGCTATTACATTACTGTACTTAAATGGACGACAATGTTCTCCCGATTCGTCGGCTTCAAGTAGTTCAAGACTTCTCCGCTGCGAGCGCTAGCGCACAGAGCCACCCGGTGTCGAGATAACTCCCCGTAACACCGCTAGGCTGCAGCACAACCTTAGTGTTTAAACAATCGTGTATTTAATCATAGACAAAAAGGTCTATGATTTAATTTTATTTTTCGTACTTCGTGGTTTCCATACTAATTCATACATTATGACTGACTTTTTGTTATTTTTTTTAATATTCCCTTAACATTTAACTAATATTATGCAGTTTTTTATGCTTGTTTACACTTATATAAAAAATCACTTGTGAATAAAAGCGTTAATAGATGTAAGGGGGCATAACCGTTTTTAAATCATCATAACATACTAAAAGTATATAATTGATTGTCAACAAATATAGCAAACAATTAAACCAACCCTATTCACTTTGTATTGCTAAGTTTTTACAAAAATATACTACCAAAATACTATTGGAAATTGTCCAATAATTTTCAAATAGAAATTACAAATCAATATCTGTAACATCCAGGAAACGACATGATGCAGTGGTCCATATTATCACCCAGCAGATAACACTGGGGGGAGGGGGGGTAGATAACGCCATGTTATCACCCCCTTATCACCATGACTGTGGTTTTTGCCCAGCGAGCGGTTTTAGCTTTATTTCCCTTGCCTGCTTTTTATGCATGTTTCGCCAATGAATGCAACACTATTTGCATAAACTGGTAACATCGAGTTTGGTTTACACTGTTGGGACTTAACTGAATTTTACAACATGTAAAAAGTTTTTGTATTATATTGTTGAAATTGTTTGGATTTAGTTTGATTAAGTATTGGCAATGTTGTATTAGTTAAATTTTTTAATTGGACATTTATATTGGATGGATTTTAATTGGAAATGAATGTGCAATATAACTAAATTTATTAAAAACAAAGTTTGGATCCATACAGTCTGTCTATGTTCCATCATGCAAATATTTCTTTGCTAAATTAGCTGAGATTTTGCTACAATGAAAATCAACGTATTCAAAACAAAAAAAAATTATTAATGAAACACGAGTCAAACAGGCTTTAGTTTTGCCAATATTTCCTAAAGTAAAAGCATTTAACTGCCTAAACTAGTAGAATGTGGATCTAAATAATAATTGAATTGATACGTTAAAAAACTTTTAAACGTTGTACTACTTAAATTCAAATTAAACCCAAAATTATGTATAACTGTTATTTAAAAATATTAGGAGTTATTGGTTTAACTGAGACTTCAAAAGGTAGAGTGAAATTTAAAAAGCTGCTGAAATTCCACCTATTCATTGCTTGTGTTATTTCAAGAAAATAGACTATACAAGGTTATAAAGTTGAAAATAAATTCTAATGAGTTCCACACCAAAATTTTACGCAAATCACGTTACACTGTATTAATGGAGCAAGATTAGAGAAATTTTATGTTACGAGAAAAGCAATTGAAAGTTGGTTTTACTCAAATTTTGTTTTACTGGAGCAAAACCATACACAGATTGTAATACATGTATAAAGTATCTATGTATACAGAGTGATTGGTACTCAGTGACAAAAAGTTTTTGGTGTAAGTACAATGTAAATGAAGTGTGATGATGCATATTAGAGGTTCCAAAGAATTATTTTATGTTTTCAAAAAATAACCATGTTTTTAAACTTATTACAGCAATTTCTCAATTACCTGTAAAAGCATTTGAGTAGATAATGTCATTTTCGTGTTCTACATTAAATCTTGTATAAGAATAGTAGAAAACGATGGAGGATAAATAGTAAAAACTCCATTGTAAATAGATCCAAAGATAAAAATTAAGGCGTTTGATAAAAATTAAAAAAAATATTGGTCTATTGAATTTTTTTACACCCTGTATACAAGAAGGTGGCCAAAAATGTTAAAAACTACGCCGTTTTATAAGCTTTCCCACCATATGCTACACTATTGAGCTTTATGTCTGCTTATGTACGCTTTAGTGGTTTGAAGACTACAAAACATGGTGTCTTTAACATTTAAAACATAGAAAGTCGGCATGTATTAAGCAAAACTTGTATTTTTCTTTTAGTTTGAACAGTAAAAACAGTAAAAAGGTTGCCTGTTTTCTAGTATTCAAACCACTAAAACAAACAAAAGCATGTAAACCTCAATAGTGTAGCATATAGTTGGAAAGCTTATAAAATGGCGCAGTGTTTAACATATATGGCCACCTTCTTGTATACAGGGTGTGGAAAAATGCAATGGACCAATGTTTTTTTTTTATATTATTATCAAACAACTTAATTTTTATCTTTGAATCTATTTACAATGGAGTTCTTATTACTGATCCTCCGTCATTTTCTATTATTCTTATTCAAAAGTTAATGAAGAACAGGAAAATGACATCTACTTAAATCCATTATTCCATTTACAGGTAATTGGGAAATTGATGTATTAAGTTGTATACTAGATATAAAGCTAATCAAGCTGGTACCTCAGTTTTCCATAAGCCAAAGCTTGACCTTGGCCTTGAACTGGGCGATAAGAGTCCGCTATTCACCAATGATCGTGATACGATTTCCTGGGCAATAAAGGCTAGGGCAAAACTAATCGACTTAAATTATAAACCTTGGATTGACAAAAATCATAATTGTTCTTTGTGTAATTTAAAATAATTACGAGACGGTTTACCATTTTGTGTCAGTTTGTCCTATTTTAAGGCGATTAAGAAAGCAATGTTTTGGGAAAATTGGCCTTAACGAAATTGAGAATTTTGAATACCTACATGGTAGGAATTGGCGTGTATTGGTGGATTATTTGTAAAGAGTCTGGCAGTATAGATGGGACTTCGTTAAAGAATTTAATTTTTAACTAATACATGTAGAAATACCTCTGCTTTTTATTCGTTGTAATGTTTTGTTGTCTTCTTTTAAAGCTCGTTTATATCCTGTTTTTTTTATTCAGGCATTGGTTGTTTTTTTAACTGTTTGTATAATGCTTTGTTTACCTTATACGGGTTTTGTTCATTGGAAAGCGATATTAAATAGGGAAAGGTTATTTAATTTTCTTATTTATTTAACATATATTTATATGTGTTGTTTGTTTCTTAAGTATTTAAAGAAGGTTTAATCTAGTGTTTTTTTTAAAATTAAGTGCCAACCGAACAGACGGTTATTACAAGTGTAATTTTCGACCCGTAAATGTATGTTATAGCAATATTTCGTAAATAAAGCATTTATTTATTTCATTTCATTATTTACTAGATGTGTATCGGTGTATAAATGTGTAATATTTGTCAGTAAATCTCGTACCACAGACTCTACTAATATTTTAAAAGATGGAGTGAGGTTAATCAAGGTGGATATGTTTATAATAAATGTAAATGAATTGTGTGACTCAAATTTCACTTCAATTAAATTTTACTTCCTTCTTACAAGATAGTACGATGTGACAACTTAGATGTCTGACCTCGAAATCATATTGTTTTCAGCTGATCCATAAGGATATATTGGTAGTATATATTCACTAACAAGACTACAAGATCGCGCGACTCATCCTACACTCATCTCCATTCATACTAGGCTTAAAATACCTACTTTGTATGGTCGCCATTTAATTAGAAAGTATTAAAGTATATATTAAACTCAATATACTATGGTTTACTGATTTTTCCAAATAAAGTGAAATCCTGCAAGGAGTACCTATACAATGTGTACAATTAATATCAACGAATTTTGTACCCAGCTATAGTGGTGAGCATACTGATTATTTAAATGATATAATAATATCAAACAATGTGGTTGTATTTAGCTTAAATTGTATTGGATCACACCTTAAATTTCACCCTATATTTTACTAATATTTTGTAAATATAAAACTAGACAATACAAGGGGGTAGAAGTGGGAGTGTAAGAGATGGAGATACGCAGCTGCCGAAACTCCGGCCTGGACCGGACTAACCAGTTGTAGGCGCTGACCACGGTACGTGTAAATTACATGGAACCTCATTTGATTGTTACTCAGCATTAATAGTCTGTTCCGACAATAACAGTCCTCGTATTGATGTGCTTCGACGTCAACAATGATATCTGTCTCAAATTACACTGAACCTAATCCTCATTAATAGTCCGTTCCGATAAAAATAGTCTTCTCGTATTGATTTGCTTCGACGTCAACGATGATATCTGTTCAAATTACACTGGACCTTAATTTATACTCATTAATAGTCCGTTCAACAATGATATCCGTCTCAAATTACACTGGATCTCATTTATTCTCATTAATAGTCCGTTCCGA